TGACATTTATCTAAAAATAAGGGAGATTAGCTCAATTTAGAAAATTATTCCTCCTAAGTAATCCACACTAACTCATATTTCAAGTACATGTCATATTTCTGGTTTTTTTCCTATGATATTTATAATTTTAAATTTTTTTAATCTAATTTTTACTTATAAAATTCACAGAAGCATAAGGTAAAAATTCAAATATGAGGTCTCTCACCACCCCTCAGACCCACTTCCAGATTAGGAAATTTAATAGTGATGACTGGGCATCTTTTTCTTATTTTTTGTATGCAAGTATATACCACAGAACAGAAAACAACCAGTCTGCACTAGTGTATTCCTATGAAATTACTTACAAGAATTTATTTAAATGTAGCTTTTCTCCTTCAATAAAAGTGGAAGAACTAAACGTCTATAGAAACTTTTGCATCCTACTTTTCCACTTACTAAATCTTAGAGATCTCTTTATGTCAGAAAATACTGCTGTACCTCATTTCTTAAAATAGTATATAAATCTATTTCATCAGTCCCCTGATGTGAACAGACATTTAGCTTGTTTCCACGTTTTATTAAACCAGTCAGCATTCATGCTTACTTTTTATTTAAAATAAAATAGCTTTATTAAATTTTAAAATAAAATAGCTTTATTAAAGGAAACTCAGTTTAATAAGTTGTTTTATTAAATTGAACACACTTTTACTAAAAGTCAGTCATAACCCTAAAAGTTCTATAATTCCAGTTGTATTATTCATAACATGGGCTATTCTTGCTGTGAAAAGATAAAATGCTTTTAACACTATGTTACCTGCAATGTATGAAATGTGTTCTCTTATTTTGATTTCTTAGGCAGATTGAGGGTTTAAAAAGTCCAAGTTTGAAATATCATCGCCAGACAAGTTCACCAAACCCAGCTACAGGCGATGCAGAGGGTTTTGACTGACATGCATTCATCTGATGACTTCCACCATGAAGTCTCTGATGAGATAGCAAGGCAAAAAAGTTAAATCTTTCTCCCATCTTCTTAGGATTCATTAACATATCATACCCCTGAAGTAATTGCTGCCTTATTGATGGCTCTTCTGATTTATCTAAAAGAACCTGAAAAGAAAAAATTTCTTAGCACAAATAATCAGAAGAAAGAATTCCTAGTTATACACAGCAACACTAATGACTCTTAAATATTTCAATAAAGCAGTGCTCAGATGTGATTTGTGATTACCTGCCTGAGAATCATGGGGTGCTTATTACAGACATAGGTTGCTGTGACCAAACCCTACAGATTTGCATTTTTTTTTTTTTTTTTTTTTTTTTTTTTT